AAAGAGTGTAATCTAAGCATCAGAAATGTCCTTTGGGCTCCGCAAAAAGGATAACAAATACTACTTCTAAAGGATTATCAAACCTCTCTCCTTTTTTAAAGCTCAGCAAGCTTAATATAGATATCCACCATTTGTTTCACCAGACAAAAAAATGAACTGATACGTAACACTGTGTAAAATGACCCTACTGCATGACAGTCCCCGAGATCAACAATTCTTACAAAATATTAGCTGCAGTAAGATCTCCAGGCAGCGGAACCAAACATAGAACTTCTTTTCCAGAATTGTTAACTCTGCGTAAAGAACACCTACTCTTATATAATCGTAAAGAGACGAATCTGTATGAACAATGACCTTGCGGAGCAAACTCAAAGCTAGAGATGCCCCAGAACCTTTGATGTTTGATTCAGAGTTGATGCAACATGTAACCAATAATGAGACCAAAAACTACAAAAATAACACGTGGAGAAAAACAAAACATTAAGAATATCATCAGATCTTAAACAGACCTCATTAGGTAAAAAACAGAAAAAATATCTAGGATTCTGCGCAGTTGAAGGAACTAGCAACAGAATGGCACGTGCAACACTTTACCGGGAAAAAAGAGATATGCAGGATATGTACACAGGAACCAATAGAACAAATGAAACAAACATTAGCCACCTGAAAAACGTATAAAACAGTGCATGTTAGAAACTTTAAACAAATTGTAATTGGAGAAAAAAAATATTGTAAGGTCCTCTGAAACTAGGATCTCAAAGAAAATTGAAGTGAATAAATATAAGTTTATTCATTCCTCATTCTTTGTTAAGCTGATTAACACTATGGATTTCTGTTGATAGAGTTGCCTTTTTATCGGTATCCTCAAGAGTAAGAGCTTAATCTATGTTTCAGAAATGTTCTTTGGGCTCAGAAAAAGGATAACAAATACTATTTCTAAGGAATTATCAAACCTCTCTCCTTTTTTAAAGCTCAACAAGCTTAATATAGATTTCCACCATTTGTCTCGCCTGACAAAAAAAATGAGCTGATACGAAACACAGTGTAAAATGATCCTACTGCATAAACCAAAAAAAAAATCATCAGAGACTTACCATCAGAGACTTACCCAAAGCCCACAACAGGCCATCATATGAACACCCAAAACTAGCGGAGTTCAGAACTCTTTGATATACCAAAGATTAGGAAAATAAAGACATTGTTACATATGTATATTGTTGAGCAAATTTCTAGCAACTTTTTTATCTAGAGAGAAAGGAGGCATGGTCCACCTGATATCGAAATAAAACTACACAAATTACCTACGAAAATTCACACAGATGACTTCAAACAAGAATACAAGAAGATCCCGATTGATACGGTTGCAATAAATCCGAACAAAACATAAAGCCGCACACTTGACAAATCTTATGCGATTCAATTGAATTAATTCATAAAACATGCCTTCTAGTGAAATCAAGGCCTAATGCATGTAACCAGACCCATAGTAGAAATGATAAACAGGCAAAGGATTTGATAGATGAACAAAAGAAGTGGAACAAGCCGATATTTTTCTTTCCGTTGATATTTCTTTTGTTTTCAGATAAGCAAAACCAAAGACTCTTATTTAAAATGTAAGGATCTATTCCCGACATAATTTCACATTTTCTCATTGCATTTTAGTCCTCAAGTGTAGAGAAAAACATAATCATGTGAAATACGTGGACTTACCTTGAATAGATGGTTCCATGAAGAACGCGTAACCCAACTAGAAATTCGCGAACAACTCTAAAAATGTCCATGCCAAGGAATGGCTCCAAATCCTGATATAGCTGAACACAATCGAAAAGGTAAATGTTTCGACAATTCTTACAAAATATTAGCTGCAGTAAGATCTCTATGCAGCAACCAAACATAGCACTTCTTTACCAGAATTTTGAACTCTGCGTGTAGAACACCTACTCTGACATCATCGTAAAAAGACGAATCTGCATCAACAATGACCCTGTGGAGCAAATTAAAAGCTAGAGATGGCCCAGAATGTTTGATGTTTGACTCAGCGTTGATGGAGCATGTCACAATAAAAATAGCAAAAACTACACAAATAACATGTGGAGAAAAAGAAAATACTAAGGATATCATCAGGTCTCAAACAGAACTCATTAGGTAAAACAGCAGAAAAAAAAAATATCTGGGATTTTGCGCAGTTGAAGGAACTAGGAACTGAAGCTCTATGACAAAGAGTACAAGTAAGCACTTCAAGTGCAGCCAAAAGATGAAGGGTATGCCGATGGCGAAATGCGGCTGAAGTTTTGTACTGGACTTCTACAACGAATCGTAAAACTACAGGAAAGGGTTATGAGAGTAAGTATGTTAAACAACACAATAACTTTCTGAGCAAATTATCACTAAATAAAAATAAATATGTACCATGATCACCCTGTCTGTGGAAAAATGTTTATCCTGTCAACAAATAGATAAAGAAGTGGTGAATGAAACGAATAAAAAATGAAAAGTCGATTAGTGAGCAAGTAATTAGTGAGCAAGTAATTTTACATTTCAAGAAAGTCGTCCACTATTTTTGAATGGCAAGTGCTACAGTTTGCCGGGAAAAAAGAGAAATACAGGTTCTGTACACACGATAACAAGTTTATTCATTCCTCTTTCTTCAATAAACTGATTAACACTATGGATTTCACGAGGAAGAGTTACCTTTTTATAGGTATCTGCAGAGAAAGAGTG